TCTGAGTGAATGAGCAAAGTAGGCAGGAGAGGAAAGCTCTGTGGGATCATCACTACAACACCACCTGGGCTTTTATCGCAATAAACACGCTGCTCTACTAATGATGTCAGGAGGTCAAAGAAGGGCAAGTTTGCATGCAGATACTGTGGCATGCAATAACCTGGGCTCTAAGATCCCTGCTGAGTGAGAGAAATAATTAATACTGAATACTGAAATGCTGTGTAGAAGAAATTAACAAATTCATCAGTTAAAAGAGAACTATTGCAAATAGCCTGTTTCACGACTGGTATTCAAAATGTTTGCTTTTAAAGGCCTTTCAGCTTCATTTGATAGCTTACAACAAACCTCTTAAACACCAGGAAGTCAAACGATTAATCGACAAATCAGTTAACTGACAAAAAAAAAATGTATCCACAACATTTTTGTTGCTGCTTTTTTGGCTTGCGGAAACTGTTGCAGTGTCTATTTATAGCAAGTAGTTCAACTGAAAAGCATTTTTTCCCCCCCTTCTCAGGTTTTTTTATTTAAAGGATCTTTAGAGACCTAAAGAGGCAAAGTGTGCAGTAGTTCACAAGAAAAAGCAAATAAAATAAGAGAAAAAAAGAAACCAGAAATGTCTTTAACGTATTTTGTTCCTTTCATCACCTTGGGACTTTGAAGGTTAGGAACCTCTGGACTGAACGATTAATCAAAAACAGTATTGCTACTTTAATTATTAGCTATTTTAATTTCATTGTTATTCACCATCTTCACTACATTGGTATTACACTGTATACTTCATATTGTTGAATTACTTTTTTAATCTTATTGTCTGTTTTCAATTATTCTATCACTGTTTTAACTGCCATTGTCAAATGTGACCTTCATTATTACTACCAATGTTTTGGCATCACACAGTATACTGAACTGTGCCTCATGCCAATACAGCTCATTAAACTGGTGAGAGAGAGAGACAGAATCCCATGGAATAGAGGCACCAAGCCAGATTCAAACCAGCAACCGCAGCAGGTCCTCCTCCATCACACCGAGCAAATAGGATGCAGAACCCAACTTAATCTGAGAGCTTGGAGAAAAGGGAAGTGAGGAAGTCTCCACGGAAGCACAGCATGACAGCAGATGGCCTCCTAGGCCTCAACCATCTGGTGAGGAGACGTCCAATCCACCGTCAGTCTGTCCCTGTTCATTTACCCATGATTCTTAAACAGTAAGACCTGCTTCTGCTCCCCTACTACACCTCTACAACCTTCACATCCAGCCTTCAGCAACACACAGAGAACACGCTCAGATAAGGCGTACAGTCCACTCTCCTACTCAGGCAGCAAAGAGACCTACTACCACGTCACATGTCACAGAGCCTAATCAATGAGCGTTAAGCCTTTAGCTGTCACTCTCTGGCCAGCCAGGAGATTATCATCTATCCCTGTGTTAGGGCTTCTCCAAGCATGGCTTATTTTAAATAGCAATATGCTGCTTGCATTGCTGTCTTTCTGACTGCTTATTCAGTAAGAAGGGACTCTCGGGCAATCTGAGCTTTATTTTGGTATAATTCCAGAGAGGCAGCGCATAAACTGTGAAACTGTACTTGTAAAAACAATTACCATCACTTTTTTCCCCAACTGTTATCATCATAATTTCCCCCTAGTTAAATTCAACAAATGTACTCATTTGGACTAGCAGTATTGTGCTTTATAAATCAATAACAATGACATGGTAATGACGTGATCAATAACAAATGTGTCACAGTCAAGAACCTTCTGATAGATCACATGTTTAAAGAACTATATGAAAGGGACAAGATAGTGAGGGTGTTAGTGTTTCTGTGTGTTGTGTGACGTATAGTTAATCTATAACCCCATTTAGGAGCCGAGTGTTTCAGGGACAAAAAATCCTGCAAAAAACACGACAAACGATCTATAATTTCCACCGCTAAACACACACGCGCGCACACACACACACACACACACACACACACACACACACACACTTATCTTTATTAACTGGTCACTTAGGGCAGGACACATTGCATCATTACCAAGTGTAATCAGGAAGTAATACATTGTACCTTTAAGCAATGTGTGAACTCACATAAATCTTGTTTTTCACTTATGTGAGAACAAACTAATTTAGAACTTAAATGATTAGAGATAAAAACTAATAATTAAGTAATTTAGTCACAGAAAAATAATCTTCATCTGAGTCATTTTTCCAAGAAAAAAAAAAAGACAAAAATTCCTCTCTTTTGTCTTATTCAAGAAATTGGTATATATATATATATATTTTTCATCTGAAGTGCTGGTTGAGGAAAACGAGCACTTCAATGACACCACACTGGGCTTTAGGACACTAAGACAAGTAGTTAATTGACAGAAAATAAATTGCAACAATTTACAAATGAAGATTTTTTCCACCAAAAAAAACCAAAATGAAAGTGCTCGTTCCAGCTTCTCAAATGTGAATATTTTTTCTTGATGTTCACTAAATAAAATCGCACACTTGGGGGTTTTGGGCTGCTGGTCAAACAAAACAAGCAATTTAAAGACGCCACTGTAGGCTCGGATAACTTGTAATGGGTATTTTTCACTATTTTTTGACACTACAGACTAAAAAATGAATTGTTTTGTTGATTAAGTAATAAGAAAATTAATGGATAATGAAACACCATAAGTTGTGACCCTCATAGAATTGTGAACCTGAACAGCGGGTTTTAAAAAAATGGCTGGACAGATGAAATTTCCTGGGAGCCGTTTGTTTCTGCCTTCCAAAAATTGTTGTCAAGTCAAGTGACACTACTGGTTGGCACTGACTGAAACCAGGGAACTTGTTGCCATGTTTCCGTCAGTAGGTGTGACCTCTGCCTTGTGGCTGCTAGTCCACTGGGCCAGTTTCATGACAACACTACCAACTCCCTCGAGTTTCAAACCTGCTCGATGAGTAATCCAAACTCTGGAGAAGCAGTCAGGACTGTCAGACTGGTTTCTTAGACATTAAAAAAAAACATGTCGATCACTGTGCCATGGGGTGGCACTTTATTATATCATTACTGAACATTAATTCTGCTCATTATTCACACCTTGGCTCATATTTTTACATAAATGACAGTCTCTTAATGTCGTAGTAGGTGGAAGCATTCATGAAGTTGACATCAATTAAGACAGGGACAGGTTTGATTCTGAAACAAATTACACCGAGCTGTCATTATTGCTATTTCTAAGTCAAATAAAAACCATGTAAACAGGGAGTAGGTACTCCAGAAAGAAAACTCAGTAACGTATGTAGATGTTAAGACAGCCACTGATTGCATAACTATGGCTTTAAGCCACAGAGTCAACATTCACACCACAGTAGACTATGGAGGCAAAATAATGTACTGTACCCTGTAAACAACTGTGGGAGTACACCACTACCTCCAGCTCTGGACAACACACACACACACACACACACACACACACACACACACACACACACACACACACTCCCAGAAGTACCATCTCTCCTTATTAGTGGGCAGTGTTGACTCTGCCACCTCCATATCTCATAACCCTCTCAAAACCATATTCTTACAGACAGATAAGGAGGAGGTGAAGTATTCAAAGAGGAATTACACCAATCTACCTGAAATTCCTGCTCAGAGATTATAAATACATTCATAATTACTTAAAAAAAATAATGGAATCAAGCATATTTCACACCTGAAATCGTGAATATCTCACAACAGACAGTCACCTCTTCACATTTTACCCCACACTGCCAAATAATCTGGCCATGAAAATAGTAAATTGGAGTCTTCCTTAGCTCCCAAAACACGCATAGGCAAGCGCTGGGGAACAGCGACTGTAATAATCTAATTTATTCAGAGGGTTGACAGGTAAACTGGACAGTTGTGGAGGTATTTTGCCGTATCCATGCACACACACACACATAACATTTCAGTCAGTGCAGGTGTCATTAGAGGCGCTCTGAAGGGCAGCGCTTTCTGGATTACTCACCCCATTGCCGCGGACTTGAGGAACAACTCCTTTATATATATATATATATATATATATATATATATTTAAGCTCTATTGGTTGTGGGTTTAGAGGAAAAAATATGTTTTAAAGCGTGGTCAAAGTCCAGTGATGATTAGCGGTCCAAAGAGTTCATTTCCCGTGCGCCAGCTTCGAACAAGTCCTCTCGCTGCTGAGAGACAAACTGAAATGTGAGAGCACTTCTTAGTAAACTCGATTCACCGGGTTGTCAAGCTCAGTCTCACAGAACCTCGGTCATTTCAGGAAGTTTTTTCTCCTTGCTTGTTTGTTTTTCCTCTTCAGACACGCCACATAATAAATCCCACTGCGGAGTGGCTTCTTCCTCGGCGTCTTCAAACAATCGGCGCTGATGAATTTTAAGTTAATGTTTGCATTTCCCCTGCTTTGCTTTGCTTTGCGTTGCTCGATGCGCAGAGTTTCTTCCTCCCCAGCGGGATTGTGTTTCATTGAAGGGCAGCAGCAGCGACACGGAGCGGCGTCCACCTGCTCACGCTCCTGCCACCCACACTTACTTTTTCCTTTTTTTTTTTTAAACCTGTGGTGTCTGCGGTTTCGGTCGGAGTTTTATCCCAAAACTGTGGTGTGAAAACCACGACATGATTCAAACCTAAAATAAATTAACAGACCGCGCTGTTACAAAACGACCAACCACGATAAAAAAAAATAATTAAAAAAAAAAAGGTTATCTAAATTCAGATGTACTTACATATTTTAAGGTGTCTGGCAGTTTCATATATCAAGTAAAATACCGGTTATAGCAAATGTATCCGATAAACTGCGCCACTCATTAGCATCTTTAGCTCAAAATATGTCTCTTTAACTCGGGTTTAAAGTCGACCGTTGGTATCAAATAACAGGGTTTTAAACGAGTAGATAGTGACCGTTGGTTCTGTTTCCAACTGCCAGGTAACGGCCATCAATCACTTTCAGGTGCGTGTGCGCCCGGAACCATTAAAATGTGTTCATTTGTTCCGGGGGTTGGGAGAGAGAGAGAGAGAGAGGGGGAAGCATTTCGGCGACGTATCGGCACTGGGATTAGCTTGAAACCAGTGATAGTACACAAACCATTCAGACAAGTTGTTTGATATCAGCGGGAGCGAAGGATATTCACGTCGTGTTAAGGTGGGTTTTTATACGCTAACGTTACAAATGTTCACAGAGTTATGTTTGTGGTTTACATGCGAACACCAGCGAACCGCATCCTGATTAATCCAGTTACTGTTCCGCATGTGAAATGTCGCCTGCAGCACAAAACACTAAAACACAAAACACACCGGAGCCGAATAAAAGTCGTAGCAGCAGTGTTAGCAGCTTTCCGGTGACATTTAGTGGTTCTTTGTCTTCCCAGCTGTCTATCGCAGTATGACCGAGACCACGGAAAGCCTTCAGAAATACGAGGAGCTGTTTGCCCACAGATTCTCATCGGAGGACCGTGAGTACCAGCAGTATCTGAACCGGCCTGCAGACCCCCCACCCATCGTCGAGGACTGGAGGAGTCGTGGAGGAGGCAGAGGCAGGGATAACAGGTGATGTGTCATGCACAACACACATGTTGTCAGTGGAAATTAAGACTAATAACCAGGTGATGTGAGTGTGCAAGATAGGGTTAGTTGGTACAGTGATAGGAGGGATAAGATTTGATAATAACAACGCTGTAAACTCAGGTATTAATTACAGTTAAAGTGGTACTAGAGTGGTTTTAGTATTGTTCCTCTAGTTTGTGGAACTTTAGTGATAGTTTAGTGCTCTGCATGACTAGTGGAAGGGCTTTTATTGGTCAACTATCTTGACTTCACCTTAACTTAAAGATAAAGGCAGAACTTTATTATCTATTTACACGAGTTATTATTTTATTATTAACTGGCATGTAAAGGAAAAATTTATACTCGAGAAATCAGATTTCTTTTTAGCGTTTATATGTGTCGTTTGAGTTTCTGTCTTTTTACAGGTTCCGTGTAATGCATGCATTAGTATCCGTTGTTGATAATTGATAGCTCATTTATATCATCTCGTCTCCATTTAGGTACCAGGACCGCCGTGGAGGTCGTGGTTGGGGAGGAGGAGGAGGCCGAGGTTGGGGAGGAGACAGGGGTTGGAGAGGGGACAATCGTGGGCAGCAACACTGGCACGACAGAGATAGAGACAGAGATAGAGACCGAGATAGAGACAGAGACAGAGACAGAGACAGAGATGGTAACCGAGAAAGAGACAGAGAGAGAGACAGAGACAGAGACAGAGATAGAGATAGAGATAGAGACAGGTACTCGGGGCATGGAAGTGGGTATCAGTCAGGCCCTGCAAGCTCCAACCAGGGATACGACTCCCATCATCAGAGACCACATTATGACCGCTACTGATCTTTACTGTAATCTCTCAGGTGTCGTCAGTATTTAAAGTATTCACAGTCTGATAACTTGCATTGCAATAACACATATGGCAATGTGCAACTGTTAACTGTTTTAATTTGTATGACACATTTCCACAGACTCATAAGCAATGGCTGAGCAATATATCAATATTAACAATATGCTGTCCATCATTGTAACTGTGTGGAACTTTTTCAATATTGTGCCACAATTTCACTGTCTGAATTAAAAATACTAAGAAGATGTGACAACGGAAAATGTTTGACTTAGCAAAACACTGTAATTCCTCATCTCGATTCATTCTGCTCAGCCCTGTAATTATATTTTCTGATGACATTTCGGGGAAGTTATGATAAGAACATACATTATTTTCTCTTTTTAATATTTCAGGTATGTGGGCTGTTTTTTTTTTAACAATATTTGGTTATGACATTATATCTAGGTAATATAACTATGGAGCTTCATCTTTAACATGTTTTGATATCAGGGTGTCATAAATTATACAGTACAGTATTGTTGCAAATGGTGAGAGAATATTTTTAATGCAGCTTTATTTTTCTGTGTTACAACATTATATATGGATACTTTTGAACTGAGCTGTTGTCAATAAACCTGTATTTTCTTAATTAGTGTTTTTTGTTTTGGATGGTTATGAGGCTCAATATTTAACACAATTTAACACAGTCAGTCCAAGCACACTTTATATTATAGATGTTTTATAGAGATGGACAAATTTAAAACTTTGGATCAGTATTGGTGCTTATTAATGGGATTGGGTATTCAGGTTTAATTTTGTGGCATGTTTGCAAACAATGTCTTGGCTATATGTGTAACTTGTAAACATGAACATTGTAGCTCTTTTGTTTTAATGGTGTTTTTGGTAAAAGTTGAACTTTAATTCCTTTAGTCTAGTGGTTTTCAAACTGGGGTCCTTTAAGTGGGTTGTAGGAGGTCCCCAGCAAAAGGGGAAATAGACTTTTATTACGGGTTTTGAAAGTTGGAACAAGGGAAGAAATCACGTTGGCTAGTTTGACTGACTATGAAAACCTAAAAATAAAAAACTCCTAGGGGAATCCTTAGGAAAAAATCCGCTAAAAGTGGGGGTCTATGGTTTAGTGTGCATCTATTGTGGGGGGTGCTTGACATGAGAAAGTTTGGGAACCCCTGCTTTAGTCAGTGCTTTCATGGGCTTCAAATCATCTTTTAATTAAATTTGTTAAACCATGTTTGTCTGTCTTAGAAGTGATTGGTTTTAAGATTCCCACGCCAAGTGTCCCAGGTGGCTCCCATCGAAGAGAATAACCTGACCAGCGTTAGCCAGGTAATTTGAGTTAAGGACCACTGGGAACCTATTATACTATTGTTGAGACAGTAGGTGGTTCAGAACCATATATACGTCAAGTGACTTTATTCATAAAGCACATTAAGTCCATTTTCAGTTGTGACAAATATTAAAGCTGCTCGGATGGTCACGATGGTCCCATTTTAATTATATTAGAAGTGTAGATCAACAAATTATTTCCTAAAAGATGTAACTATTGTTTGTTTCAAGATTTGCTATGGGCCAGAAATCAAGAACTTACTGACAGCCACATTTGAACAGTTTCACTGTTTTAGCCTTAATTGTCAGTCTAATGGATGCCACATTAAACCAGATGGCCTGTTCAGCTGTACTGTGTGTGTGTGTGTGTGTGAAGGGAAAGCAGCATTCACAGTAAATGGCTCATAAGAAACCTAAGACCAACAGCTCACATTGTGAAAAGCAACTGAAATATTTATGTGCATCATTAATACATTATTGCTGCATGCATCATTGGCTATGGCATATGTAGCTCATTGCCTAAAGATGTCAGCCCTTGTCTATCACAGTCCATTCACAGCAGATCTTAATTAAGTAACAAACGGTGACTTTGGACACATTGACCGACTCCACTGATCCACAACACAAGCAGAAACATTCTGCTTTGTCTTATCATTGCCTGCATGCCATTGTCTATTTATGGCTTTGGTGAAGACGGGGTTAACGGTTCATTTGGACTTCAGCAGTGCAATCAGCTGTGATGATGAAGGAGGAGGGAGGTTAGGGAGAAAGTGTGTGGGGGATGTGCGGTAACTGGCACACAGCAGGGAAGGCTGCCATCACCACTGTAATCAGTTTAGATTTGAGAAACTTCACCCTAGACTGCTGCATCAGAGCAGGGATATGCTGGACAGAGACGGAGACTTTAGAAGTAAAACAGGGATTTATTGCAAGAAATATAAAGTATCTTGCACTTTGGTGGAATGGAAAAGAAATTAGATTAGTGTCTATGAAATAAATATGACTACACTTTTTACAGTTAAACAAATAGTTAAACATTTTTGAAAACAGAGCCATTATAGAGCCACTAGCAAGGCTGTAAACTCACATTTTCCATGCCAACCTACTACATACTCAAAACCTGCAATGAATTTGTATGTAGGATAGAATTTGGTGCACAGCTAATATTAGTGTTTCAGATGAAAATATCCTTCATAGTGAGATACACTGACATCCTCATGAAATCCTCAGGAGCTCGGCCCTGTGTAAAGTTCACGCAACTTCCAAGACTAATCCGGTCTTCTGGGTGTCACAGAGAATTAAGTATCTCTTACTAATTCATTGCACTCATCTTGTGAATGGAGCATAAAGCATTTGGATTCCAGAGTAAATTATTTATTATTACTACATTAAGAAATAAAATCAGCACCGCAGAGTTGTTTCAGTTATGGATTCATTCAACCACTTGCTGGAGAGAAGCTCCTGAAACTTTCCACCCAACCCTCCTATAATCAAATCCATAGCTGATTACATTCTAATTAATAAGCTGTTAATGCATGAGAGTAAGAATGTAAGAGAAGGAAAACAATAGAGAGAGAGAGAGAGCCACAGAGAGGGAACAGTGAGAGTCCCCTCGGTCTGGTCTGCCGGGCTGTCAGGCTTCATGTGGCCTGTTTGTGACGATGCAATGTGACAGCAATGGAGACAGTGTGCTGGGGGCCATGTCCTTGATGATGAACTCATCCACTATACAATCACCCCCCCCCTCCCGTCTAAGTGCATACACACATACACGTGTGCGCACATAACACCACAACCTCCCCACCAACACACACAGACCCACAGACACCACATCCCCCAGCCCCTGCAGCACTCAGCGACCTACATCTGGTGTTAGAGAGTGCAGGGGCTAAGGTTGGCCCAGGCCAGCCAGCCCCCAGCAGACAGTGGGGTGTGTTCATGTTGCGTGTGACGTGTGTGAATGGCAGAGTACGCTTGTTCTGCTGTTTCCATTGAAATGAATGCCCCCAGCTTTGTAAGGTACATACAAATCTGTACACAATTGCACCCAGTCACATGAACACACACGTGCAGATAGTAAGGAAGCACTCATACATGCACTTAGACTTAAGAATAGACCCTAATAATGCTGCTGCAGATACATTTTGATGACATCTTGTCCCCTGCTCATCCGACTACATGCTATATAAGTTAATCATGCAGTCGCTCAGGTCAACCATGTAAAGGCTGTGGACTCTGCTGCTGCCGAGGGTAGCTTGTTAGTCTGATTACATCTGGTGGTACCTCCAAAGGAAGATACAGGCAGGCTTTAGGAATACTAAATGGTGAAGGAAGTGCTCAGTTCCAATGTAGAACAATGTAGAAAATACTCCATTGCAAGTTAAATTCCTGCATTTAAAATCTTACTTTAGTAAAAGTACAGCAAAATTTTTAGGAAAATATCAAAATGTAGCTATTATTTTAAGTTGATCATATTTTCCATGCACAATTTTATTGTGGAAAGTAGCCAGAAACCTTAGCTGTTAAATAAATGTTGTGAAGTAAAAAGTACAATAATTAAGTATAAATATCAGAAAATGAAAATACTCAAGTAATGTTACAAGCATGTAAGTACAGTATTTGAGTAAATGTACTTTCGCTTCCCAACAATTCCAATACTGCCACACAAAGTAACATCAGAAAGAGTCTTTTACTTGCTATCACAACATCTTGGTCAATCTCCAGAATCAAGAACTTGGAGAGTACCGAACTCCAATGTACTGAGTCATCTGCCAAGATGTTACACTGTTCAGTACATCCCTATCATCAAAACTAGTGCTTTGCTCCAGGGACAGTCTAACATGTCTTCTGAATTACACACAACACACGCTACACTGAGAATCTTTTCAGAGTAGAAGTGGTGATGGTTTGTGAGAGATGTTTGACTCTCAAAAGTGCAAAATCTCAGTTGTCTTTGTCTCTCGAGGGACGGACATTTATAAATTCAGCAGTGTATATTACATGAAAATGTGTTTGTATTCTTCAGCCTGCTCCGTGTTTACTGCCATCAAGGCTGCAATTAGACTTAAGAATGAGGATCATCAGCACCCTGCAGAGCACTTCATCGATCCACTGTTGAATATTTACATTGTTGAATATTAATGAAAGTCACATTCAAAGGGCACAGGTAAAGATTTTCTTTCAATAGAACAAATGTTCCTTTAAAAAAAATAAACAGTTGCTCAAGGAGTTGGTGACTCCAGGCTTGTTAATTAAACCACCATAATTTTCATTGTGCCAAAGAAAGTCTAAGTCTGAGTCTAATATGCACATTGGAAACAGATTATTATTTACTTGCTATTATTTTCATCATTCTAACCTTTCCACTGTCATTATGATCATTGTCCTCTATCCTCCATCAGCACCAAAAAAAGCGAACGTCTGTAAAGCTTGTATTTTATGCAGTGAGACGGGAAAATCATGATGACCCTCTTCTTCTCCTTCCACTTGTGAACTATAAAGTGAGAAAAGTCCCAAATTAGCAGTTTCAGTTGACATGAGCAAAGCTCAACACCCAATGATTCAGTGGCTCAGGGGGTTAGTGATGCTTACCACACAGTCCTATATATGTACATGGTAATTAATTACAGTCTTACATCATTCAAACACAGATTGCATAACTCCCACCAGCTGGACAAGTAGGGACACACACACACACACACACACACACACACCTACACACACACACACACCTACACACACACACACACACATTCCCTCATCCCTGCAGGTTGATGTTGTTTTGAAGTGGTCTGGACACACACCCAGAGCTGGAGCTCACACCAGAACATTCTGTATAAATGTTTTTAAATGGATTAAAGTCACTGAGGATGTGTCATGCTAACTGGTTCTACAGAATATTTTAATAAATGGAAAAGACTAATCACCCTGGCAAATTGCAGGATAGGCCGCACACTGATGTTGAATTTCAGGATGACTGAAGCTTGGAGTAAACCAGTTCAATTTTTAGGAACATCTTTAAAAAGGATGGCCTAATGTGGTTTAAATTAATCAGACTGCTTCAAGGGATATTAGGAGATCGAATAGGACTGAATGATGCCAAGAATTAAGGAAGGACAAATCCAAACAGTAACTCAGGAGTGAATCAATGGAAAAATCTTGAGGGTTATCTGGAAATATTAGTATAAATAGAGTATAGAAATACAAAAGATTATATATATGTACATGCATGTTTTATATACATAACTACCATTTTATTCATTGTCTGGACTGTGTAGGTTGTTCATAAATGTTCTTATTTTTGTC